TACTGCCCTTTAAAGGCTAACCGCACTAGCTACGCTAACAGTGAAGCTGAGAAGAGTCGCTTCAAAGTTTTTTGACAGTTTGTGGTAGAACGGCAGTGTGTGCGTATTAAATATGGATTCTCTCAGTGATTTTCATGGCTTGAATTTAACCTGTGACCCCGAAAGTGCAGATCCTGCACTCTGTCTATTAGAAATACAATAAGCAGTAATATCTGAGCTGTTCTCCATCTGCTCCAGCTCACAACACTCAGATGGAGTCAGTCAGAGTTCCCAGAGGAGAACATGAAGATTCCCTTTGTTTTAATTCCCACATTGTCTTGATAATGTCTAGAATTCTTTAATCCCGCCGCTCTTACTACATTTCAGAAGGAAATGTTGCACTTCACTACAATTATCTCACAGCTTTAATTACAAGTTAGAAGGCGGGAAATGAACAGCAGCCAGATGAAGGTAGAAATAAAAGGGTAAAAAAAAAAAAAAAAAAAAGTTTAAGAAAAAAAATATTTTTTTTTTTTTTGTTGATTTTAAAAATTAATTTTAAATTATTGGGGAGTGGCTCATTACTAGTCTTAATATTACTTTCCCCAGTAACTAGTAGTGTAAGTAACTCTAATACATTTCAGTAATAATATTAGTTACCTCCTATAAATAATAAGTTACAACCTTACTTTTGTTGTCTCTAATTTGAAATCCAACAATCCAATCACATCCTTGGAGTGGAAACATTCAGTGGCTGGAAATATTCACATTACTTTGATTTGATTTGAACAAACAAAACTGGATTTGAATAGATTTTAGTAGTTAAACTATTACTTTTGAAAAGAGTAATGACAAATACATATATTGAGTAACTAATCCGACTCTTTTGTTTTTCTTTTGATTATTTGAAATTATTTTTGATTCAACTTTTGCGTTTAAAATGTTGGATATGAAGAAAAAACTGATTATTATCATCAAAATGTTTTTTTTCTTAACTATTAAAGTGCTCTTTCTGGTTGTGTGAGTGAGAAATCTTTTTATATTTTATACGTTTATACGTTCTCTCTCAATGTGGAGCTACTTTATATATTGTTGGCTTGTCCATGCGCTGTATGAAAGTGTCCCAACCACTTCTCTGTGCTCCTGGGAGAGCTGTCCGAGACCCTCACCTTCAGCATCCCCCCTTATCTCCCTCCATCGGTCTCCTCACTCACAGTCCCAACTTCAAACTCCAACACTGTCAGTAAACCACCGGCTCAGTTTGTTCCCGGGACACGAGAACGTAGACGAGCTCTCTTCAACCCTGAAGGACAATCTGACCCCGTTTCATAACACCTTGCTTTCAGTTCACCCAGAGCGGATTCCTTCACTGCCCCACCTCTCCCACTCAGATCTTCTCCACCCCAGTACTGTAACTCACACTGACACAACAACACACACACAAACACACACACACACACACACACCACGTGCACGCCCACACCCTACCCACCGAGACCGCCACCCACTCACCCTTTGGTTTTTAGCTTTTATTGACTTCTTTTTCTTTTAGAAAGAAGAAAAAGAAGATAAAGAATAAAAAAAAGAAAAAAGGTGCATTTTATTTTATATAATAGGTTTTTAAAATCTTAACCTGCAAAGTAATAACAAACTATAGATTTCAGATAAATGTGCTGCTGTGAAAAGTACAGAATGTCCCTCTAAAACGTAGAAAGTAATACAAATAGAAATTAATGTACTTCAGAATTCAGTTCCAGCAATCAAGTAAACGTAGCATCTAGTTACTTTCAATTCAATTCAATTCAATTCAATTCAATTTTATTTGTATAGCACCAATTCATAACAGAAGTTATCTCAGGACACTTTTCAAATAGAGCAGGTCTAGACCGAACTCTTTATAACATTATTTACAGAGACCCAACAGTACCACCATGAGCAAGCACTGGGCGACAAGGGCAAGGAAAAACTGCCTGTTAAAAGGCAGAAACCTAGGACAGATCCTCCGGCTCTAGGTGGGTGGTCGTCTGTCTCGACTCTTTCCACTACTGAATGTCTCCACTTGTGCTTTCAGAAGGTTTCCACTTGAAACCACAACAGCCGCACTTGAAAGCACCACTATATAATAATTAATAATTGAGTATTCAAGCATAATTGTCTACCATTTATGTAATTACGGATAATTACAAACATCATTCTGCAAAAATACTCCTTAAAAGAAAAGAACAGCCTCCTTTTGTTGTTTCTGTTTTATGGAAATGTTAATTATTATTTTTTAATTCATTCAATTAAACATTTCCATTCAAGTCACTTTGGCTCCATTTTCCCTGCAGAGTGCCGCCTTCATTAACATGGAGGAAGTGTACAGGAAGTATCCGATACCCTCGACTGCATATAATTAATATGCGGTTAATATTTAACACCTCTCTGACGTGTTCCTGGGATTTGCTTTAATGAGGCATTGCAGTCTATTTGACACGGCTTTAAACGTATGATAATTCATCCGTCACACTGCGACACAATGCAGATAGCATCAGCAGCATTCTGATGAAGAATTGAACCTGCGGGCCTGGTTTCTTGCTGTGATGTTGGTTTTTATTCACACATTATATAACGAGCTCTGTCAGCTGACTGTCATTCATAAAAAACCCTCCATATCTCCTCCTTCAAGTGTCAGGCTTCTTCTCTCAGGCACTCTGGTCTTTGTTGTGTACATACTGTTTAAAAACCCGAAATGATATACGTTTAAAACAAAAGACTAGTAGCCACCGCTGTTCAGGTTCGGCTAAATACAGAAGAAAAGGCGCCATGTCAGGATGGAAACGGCTGCGCAGCTTTACACTAACACAGAATAACGGACTCGTAAAAATACAGTAATTTTCTGTGATTAAAATACCTTTAATTTTACATAAAATCTTTTTGGCTTTTTAATGTTTAATTAAATATATTGACACATGTAAAACCATTTACAGCAGAGTGCTGTTCTTATTTGATTTCCTCTTATTTTAATCTGAATGTTAAAAGTTATAGAACTGTAATTAAAGTCATTATCTGTGAAATGACAGTAATTATTGCTGTTTACACTGATAGAAACTATATTTGGACAGTTTACCAATGCTTATACACTGATAAACAACATTTATTCAACGTTTTTATTGTGATAATTATATAATAATTATACAAGATATCTGTCAAATAACAAACAAATCCATGTAAAATTACACCACAAATACTTTTTACTGTTAATTGTCATTAATTTGACATAATTCTGTATTAACAGTATTAAACTTGAATTTAAGAGTTGAATCTATTTAATAAACAGTAGAAAATTCTAGATTTACAAATGTATTTTAAACTTTTTATGTGAAAAATAATGAATAAATGTAAATTCACAGACTATTTGTGTAAGTTTATTCATATTTCCATGTATTTAAAAAAAATACAGAAAAAATCTGTAAAATAAAGGTGAAAAAAACTCGTAAATGAAAAGAGAGGAGCTAAAGAGCTGCAGGTTGCCTACTTCGGGTCCAATCCGACTTTTTATCAAACACATTGATTAATGGAGAGAATAACAAACCCCACCGTCGTCCATCCGTTTTAGCTTCAGTGTCACATTTGATTCTGATCGTTATCCAGCAGTTTATTTCACACAGCTGCAGCTGGGGCCACATTTCTGTCATTTTGTTGAAAGATCTGATCCAATTAAAAAATGTTTTGGTTCATTTAAATGACTGTGCACACAAAGTGCCCTTGACCGCTTTGAGCAGAATTCATGTTGATCACAATTAACCGCATTATATTCAGCTCCGGTTGCTGAGGGAGGTTCAACGTCTCTTTGGTCCTCCTGTTTGAGTCTGTGGTGCCGCCGGGGTGCTTTTATTTCTCATTTCTCTTCTGTCACATTATTTTGTGGCTCTACATGGGTAAATGTGTGTTTGTAGTAATTTATTTGAACTTAAACCTCTGAATAAAGTTTGTTCAGCCGATCCCAGTTTGGAGACGTTTGATGCCAATTTAGAGACACGTACTGATGTTGAAACACTATTAAACTGTATGAATACTTTTAAACTGGGTTTAATGGTTAGAGACAAATAAATAATCCCTTATCCATTTTATTGAGCAGTGATCAATATCTAAAAGTCTACATTGAAAAAGTCACTGAAGTAAAAGTGTCTATAAAGTATATCTATCTATAGAATAAAAATTATACAAACAGTAATCATTAATAATCTTAGATAAGATTTATCTGCTGATTATTTTCTCCATCAATTCATTTATTCTATATTATTAATCAAAAAGAGCTCTTTACTGTAATTTAATACCCAGAGAAGCAGCGCATTGTCCCATTTTAAGAAAATTATCATCACTTAAATGATTAATCAGAACATTTGCAAATTAATTTGATCATAACTGACTAATTGATTGATTAAAAGGTCCATATATATAGGTCCAGTGTAAAAATTGGAAAAAAATCTCGAACTGATTTCTGGCCCTTCACTCCCCTCCCACCGGCCGTACTATGCTACTATACTATAAAACTATATTATTATTATTTCTTCTGGTTGTTTCATATCAATTTAAAATAATGGCTATGAATGAATGACTATCAAAGATGATGTTAGTAACTGAAATGTTTTCAGAATATTCTTGTAGCACATATACATTGAAGAGGCCCTCCTATGAGATGATTATACCAGCAGTGGCCCCAAGACAATCTGAGTTTGAGACCCCTGAAGGTCCAGTGTGGAGGATTTATTTCACCTTCTCCCTCCAGGAGGAGAGAGGAGAAACTGTCCCTTAGAAACATGGATGGGCTCGTTCTAAGCTAACAGAAACACAACAGTAGAAAACATACCTATTAATATTATATATAATATATTATAATCCATTTCTGCCAACAGTCCCTCCTCAATGTTTCACACTGGACCTTAATTCTTGTTCTAAAAGCTCTCCATGTGTCTCCCTCTGAGCCGCAGTGGATGGATGAATCCAGAGGAGCTGAATGAATCAACACAAGACAACAGTGCGGCTTTAAGCAATACATTATTTATATATAATATATATACCTAAAGGTTTCTGGAGGAATTAGTAAGGAGAACAATGATATGCTGGGTTACATTCTGATTGAAGCCCTTTTTAGAAGCTTTTTAAAAAAAAGAAGTAAAATGAAAACTAAACACAAAAAAAAATGAAACCATCAAACAGCGACGGAGGGAGGACATTAAAGGTCGCACAATAACACACAATGATCTCGCTTTCAGCTGTCCCAAGATGTCTCCTCATTATTTTGTTTCCACACTGAATCTCAGGATCTGCAGCTTTTCTTTTTCCTAATTAAGTCGCACAAACGCAGTCGAGTCCCGTCGCTCTCACTAACCGGTGTGTGCGTTCACACTGTGAGCAACAAAAATAAAACCCTCATGTCACCGGTTCCACTTAGGAGCTTGTTTCTCAGCCCGTGGACGCATTGGAACTGCCAGACGACTTTAACTCAAGAGTCAACTTCTAGCTTTCTGTTTCCAACATGAGCTCAGCGTCTGCAATCACATTTGTTGTCCCTGCTGTGTTTTTGTTGTCCCCATTAATTCTGAAAGTTTGCCGCATGAGAACTGAAGCAGAGCCACGACAGCACAGCTCCGTGTGTTCCTGCTTCCTGCAGCGGAAAGGTGTGGCACGGCGAGGCTGAAGCGGGCGGTACGGCACCGGGAGAAAATAAAGCTGCTCAATGGGCTGAAACAGTGACACACTTTATATCCGCCGCGCAGGGTGTGAACAACAACACAAGCGAGATAACCAAGATTGGATGCAGTGAAAGAACCGCCTAGAACAATAACGCTGCGAGCATCCACGCTGTAAACAGCGGGGTTTGGTTTTGGATCTGGCCGCCCGCCCTGTAACTTAAGTAAACTACATTGTGTTAATGAAAACTTGATTCCTATTTGATAGCTTTAAGTTTAGTTGTGCTGGACGGACATTTGCATGAAGTTTAAATTTGTGTCTACTTAAAACTCTTAAAACTGATTTCAGTTTAGTATTTAAATCCTGTCACTATTTAGTATTGACGTTTATTCTAACAGTTAAATAATTCTGTGTTTTTAATGACATCTGCCTTTAATGATTGGATTACATGTGACATTTTCCGAATCAGCGTCGTCGGTGTCGGAGGCTCACAGTGTGTACACACAACCAGCTGGACGCACTGCCGCTCTGACTGAGGGACAATAAAGAGAAGAACAGCAGGAATGTGTGAACGTCTGGAGGGTGGCGCTCAAACGATGCGTTTACATGCACTCGAGAAACCAGGATACTACATGCTCTGTAGTTACAGTAAAAACACGGCTTTTTGTCTCATTCTGTTTGCTGTATTTTTGGTTTGTGGTACAGTATGAGGCTCCACAGTGTCTGAATTGATCTGTGGGAACGACGTCCAGAGGCGGTCCGCGTCTGCAGTCTTTGTCCTGCACACGCGTACGTGTATAAAGCCGATCAGAAACCCGGTTACCCGTATTCATGGCCATGAAATCGCCTTTCTCCAAAGTCGAGTGGTTGCTAGAGTGCACGTAGACGCGCTGACAGGAAGAGTTCAAACCTCCAACCCCGAGTCCTCGACCAGGACACCCTCCCTCAGGAGTAAGGATCAATAAAATCCAGATGTGGTTAACTGGTGGACATCAGAGTGTCTGCTGAATTCAGGAGGAAGACCACCCTTTTATAGGAAAAGCTGCAGATGCTGCTGAGATGTGACTGACAGGAGGAGGAGGAGGAAGAGGAGGAAGAGTGCTGAGCACAGGGAGACCTGAAACAGCGTCATTTCAGAACTGATCATAACTGTACAGCAAAAAAAAAAAAAAAAAACTAAATAACCCAAAAACACATCTGTACAAATGTACAAAAATCAACAGGATTAAAACAACATGAAGGTTCATGTTGGAACGCCCAGCGAGTCACTGTGGACGTGGACAGTATGCAGTAACAACTCAACCTGGATCAAAGTCAATGTGCCAACTTTGTTAAGTGCAATCCACAGCAAACCTGAGGCCGGACCTCCGGGGGTTCGACGGCGAGGACGTCTCCTCCCCCGGGCGCCTCGGCCACAGCGAGTATAAAGGACAGCTGGTTAGTGATCATTAACATTTCTCTAATCGCTTTAACTGCAGCAACACAAACATTAACTTAAATCTGTAAAATTAAAAAGACATAAAAAGAAAAAATGATCCCTTTCTTCTCCCCGTTCTGCTGCTTATCGTCAAACAGGCAGATAACGGACTGTGTACAAAGAAAATGCTCCGACTGTTTACGGTCCGACTGGAGATCTGGAGACGAGAGTCACTCGTGAAGGTCGGGCTGCTCTTCGTCTCTTAGATGCAGCTTTTTTTTATTTTCCCTGTTTGATCTCAGGTGAAGGTGAAACAAGACGGTTCCTGTTTCAGAGACATGTCAATCACTTTTACAGCGCAGCCCTGAAGAGTTTCATTCCAACATCCGTTCTGTAAATGTAGAGCACTACATACTCAAAGTGGAGGGATTTTAGAAGTGGACCTGACTTCTGATATCGACCATATACTGTAGAATTAAAACTGTCCGTAGTCTCCGTGACGTCGGGCTGAATGAAGCCTGGTTACTGTCACTCAAATGCCCTCAATTCTACACATTGTTAAGCTTTAATCTAATTTAAACAGGTGAGTTCAATAAGAAGTCACCCCCCAGTACAGCTGTCATTAAAAAAACATTAGCTATAGAGACCCAAACTGTTCTTTGTACCATAGTGTGAGTTGGGCGTTTTAATACAGGGCCTTATGGAGACTGACTCACTGCTGGAGCCAGCCTCTAGTGGCCGTTAGAGGGAACTGCAGCGATTTGCCTCGGTATCGACTCCCAACGATGTTCGTTAAGAGGCTGCCGGTGCGTATCGCTCTTTAACTACGGACCGAAGCTGTGCAGCAAAACAACAGCACCCCCTCCCGACCCGATCAGAGTGAAAGGACTGTCGGAGTTTATCTGAGTCCTAAGAAACAAATATCACACAAATACTTAAAAGTGATTAAATATCTGATTAAAAATGAACAATTCGCTAATGTATTAGAAGGTTTTGGCTCCCAGAATGATTAAAACCAGCTGATAGGAAACATAAGGACAGCAGGTCATGTGTTTTCCTTTCTTTGAGAGTGAGCTGAGTCACTCCTGCCAGCGGCTCCGGAATGAAACTCTTCACAGGAGTCACCGGGAAGAGAAACTGATGACATGAACATCTGTGAGAGTTACTGAACCTGAACCCTCTGTCGGCAGCGCCAGGTAGTTCGCCCTAATTCCCCAAAAGCAGCCTTTTCACTTCCTGGTTCAGTGTCTGATCACATGATTTTAGGCCACACACACGTGTCACATGGTCAATCAGACTGCTTCTCATAGGAAAGTGCCTGGGGAAAAGGGAAGGAGGGGAGAAAGGACACATACAAAGGAAGGAGGGGAGGACGGCCGTGTTAGCTTGTGTTGACAGAGAGAAAGTTTACACAGCAGAGTTCAGGAGGGGCGCGCTTGTTTTGTGACATGGCGTGGTCCTCTGACCTCAGAGCAGCACGGGGGGGAAGAGTCGCTGACAGGAAGACGACACGCTGGTTTCCTGACGATTTCTTTCCAGTAAATGAAAACCACCTCAAATACTGAGAAACTTACTACACAGAGTATGACGCAAGATCATGTGATTAGAGAGGGAAACACACCCTAACACTTCCTGATTATTGCATTTCATTTCATCCACTGGAGGCATCAGCCAAGTGTTCTCTACCCAGACAGACAGCTCCTCTCTGCTCTCTCTCGGGCATTACATTGTTTCTAGATCATGTTCCTGATCTTACAGTCTGGTAAGTCTAAAAGGAAATAAGACATTAGATCGCAGCGCCGGCAAATATTTCACGCATCTGCAGTTTTGTGGAAACGTTCAGTTCAAGAGGGAGGAAACTTCTTCCATCAGAGGAACTTCAACAACCCGTAGCCACAATATTCTCAATACCTGACCTGTGTTTTGCAGCCTTGTTATGTTATTTGTTGTGCAGTTTCCCATTAATGTTTGGGTCGTATAGACTCTCTGCGGGCTGCACGTAGGCGAATGTACACGGTGGTCCATCAGAGCCGAGGCTGTTTGTTTTTATACTCGTATTTACAACGTTAACTTAACGTTGACTCAGCGGTCCTCCCGACCGGAGCTGAATCAACCTCGCTCGCAGTGCGGGTCCGCGTGACGCGTGGCTGACATTTGGAAGGTGTGTGTGTGCGTTGGCTCCTCGGTGGTCTACCTTTACACACATCTTATCGGAGAAGAATAATTCCAGCGTAGGCAGCGGGAGGTTGGACAGGCTGGTCTTCTGTTTTTGTCTCTCTATGCTCCATTCGGTCGACCTCTACAGCTGCAGCGATTAGTCGATTAGTAACTATTAAAGTAATTTGCAAACATTTTGATAACCCATTCATCTTTTTGAGTCAGAAATATGTCCAAATCGTCGGATTTAACTTTCTCAAATGTGACGATTTTCTGTTTTTGTTAGAAAATAATTGTTAGTTGCAGCCCCGGACCTTTTATCAACTAATGGTACTGACATTTTAAAAAGAAAATCTTATCATACAGATGTTTTTAAAGACATTTATCCATTTATCCAAAATGTTCAGGGATGTAAAACAATGGAAACCCAAGGCAGGGACTAGAACCAGGTTCAGGTCGGGGGGAAGATCCAGATTACGGGTTGTTAAGTTCTCAGAGCGGAACAAAAAGCAGCTCAATCTGCACGCTAACGCAACAACTCAAACATATTCCAGTTTGAGCGTCACTGACTGATGGCTGTTTCAACGGTGTGGTAGGAAACACACTTTCCAGGAATAGTCTGCTTTGGACTCTTCCTGTGTGTTCGGGTCGGTAATCTCTCTGCTCTTCTGTTAACTGCAAACACGCACCAAACCGCACAACAACTCCATCCTGTGTAATGTGTTTCAGAGGCAACCTATAGCGAAGTGCCTGCTTTTTTGCAGCCTGGATTCATTAACAAATAACCTTTCTCCTACCGAAGGCCGAGCTCCATTTCCTACAAGGCACTATGTGACCGTATAGGCAAAAGGTAGAGTTATTTCTTTTTAAGCCGCTAAGAAACTAAACTCACAAAAGTGTGTTAGCAGAGACAGACACACACACTGCGAGACAAGCTTCAGCTGATTTGTCAGAAGCAACTATATTATTAGGTCAACTAGAAAAAGCTCTGGGTTAAGCGTAATATCTACATTTTGTTATTTATAAAAAGGGATCTTTGCTTCAGCTTCAACAAGTTTACAAAATAGGGCAGAAAAATACCAAACTTCTGTTATAAAAAAGCCCCGTTTGGTGTGATACCTGAAGGACAGAGGAGATAAAGGTTAGAGCCCAAACATTTGCTTTTCCCTGCAGAAATGACAAGCAATCACCTTGTGTAGTTCATGGACATAAAATGCAAAGAAAAAAAACAGAAGAAGAAGAAGCCTCTTAGATGAGATTAACTTAGGAGGAGGACAGAGGGTGTTTCTCATTAGCACCATTGTGTTCTGTAGTGACTAATTGCAGCCTAATTAAAAGTCAAGAGAGACGGGGCGGACTGAGCAGAGTGGAAGCGGCGAATGAGTCTGACTTTTTTCCCCCAGAGTTCTGCTGGTCGCCCCCGTTAATTCCACATTTCATTGTTTAATCACTTGTGTTCATAAAAACATTTATCCCTGCTGGAATCAGAGGAAAAAATACAATATTTTGGTTTGAGACTGGAACTCCAAAGTGAATGAATGAATTAATCCTCAGAGGTGGAATTCATCTCACGGAGGAGCGTGATTGGATCATCTGGGAGGAGAAAGAAACAACACAATAAAAGAACTATTTCCTCCTCGACGTGGGGACGAGAGGCCGTCGGGAGGACGGTTCGTTCCTCAGTCACTGCTGTCGTCTTCGTCGTCATCGTCCGACAGGTTGTTGCTGTTGAACTTTGACACTGGCCGGCCGATGGAGTCCGAGCGCGGCCCGAGGCCTCCTGATGTCAGCTGCACGAAGCAATACTCGCAGACGCGAACGGGTTTGGACGACTGGCTGGGCAGGAGGTACTTCTTCTCTGAGCACGGCCCACAAACCACGTAGCCACACTTCCTGCAGTGGTGGCGGCGGCTGACCGGCGTGAACTTCACCTTCTGGCAGCGCATACAAACCGTCGCCTCCGAGTCGGGGACCCAGACGGCGGCGTGTTCGCCCGTCGGGGCCTTGCCGCTCTTCTGCAGCAAGTCTCCCACGCACTTCCCTATGTGGCTCATCCACTCGGACTTCTCGGTGGCAGTGGCGGCATAGACGGCGAAGGACTTGGTGGGCGTCTTGATGAGCCAGCCGTTGCGCAGGTCACCCTCGTCCGGCACCGTGTCGATGGTGACGCTCTCCAGCGGGATGATGTGCTGCTTGTTGTACTTCTTCTTCTGGATGACGATGTTTCCGTAGACCAGGATGTCGTTGAAGAGGAAGAACTGGCGCGCCTTGGGCTTCTTGCGGCAGAGTTTGGTGAGGACGCCCTCGCCGATCAGCACGCGGCCTGGGATGGCCAGCGGCTGGCCTGCAGCGCCGAAGCAGCCCTCCACCACTGCGATCCGTTTGGAGTTGGCCTCGCTGTTCGCAAGCCGGTCCACCATCTTCACCTCACCTGCAGGGAAATGGAGAAAGAGGGAAAGTTTTAATGACTTTAGGTTATCAACATCTCTTTATAAATATATACAGTTGTGGTTCGATCCCAGGCTCCTCCCACTGCGTGTGTCCTTGAGCAGGATACTTAATCCCAAATTTGAGTAAATCTATTTGTAGAAAGGTGTTATACAAGTACAGTCCATTTACAAGTTTGAGAGCAAGGTGGGTAAAACAGGGTCATTTTTTAAAAGGCAGTCAATAAAACGTCACGGTGCCATTTCAAGAGCCGGCAGCGTGCCTGCTTGTGTAGCAGCTCAGAGGGTCTTTGCTGTTATTTGATCCACTAATAGATTAAAACATTGTCACTATTCTGCTTTCCCTCACTTGTTCAACAGTGGTTTAAATTTTTGAAAGAGGGAGGATTAGTAGATAGCTGTAGAAGAATATTAGACTCTACTATAAGCCTTTAATAAGAAAATATTTCTGCACTTAATGTATTTTATATGACTTCCATTTTCCATAAATCATAAAGAAAGCCATTAAAAATGAATCAGGATACTGAAGAAAGTAGTCAGGAATAGGAAATGAATCTTCTTTAACAGTCCAAACACAAAGTTTCTATTTGTACTTTTACACCAAAAATGAATCACTTTCCTGTTTGCTGCTCGAAGCATTACGCAGTGCAAACAGAGAATAAAAATAAATGTTTGAACAATCCCTCCCACTCCGATTCTTCCGACCAATTACAGTCGTATGACAGTCTTTGTTACAACACTTTTACCACCTTCTTCCTACAACGTCTTGGTTACACAGTCTGTATTTGTTCCTCTGCTGAAATCACACAAAGTCACTATTCCTCTTCATTTTATTTCCCTTTTTGTATTTCACTGTCCTCCATCTTGACGCTGCTCAGCCAAACCGCCAAAATTACCACAAACGTCTGACGTCGATGGCGTTAAGCGTTCAAAGATGTTTGCATGTTGGCTGCGAGCCACGTGATCTGATTCTACAGAACACATCGGTGTGGCTTTCATTAGAAATCTGCTGCTCGCACGGATCAGAAAACCTCAGATCTTTGTCTTGAAGCATCAGTTTCTTTTTCATCATTTTTCAGTCCAATCGATGATTATGTAAATATATGGATTAAAAAGCTGAGGATTAAAGTATTCACACACTGTACGATTTCAGCCGCAGGACTCATTTTAGAGTTGTCTGCTTAGTCGGGCAGCGTACACGGCGGAGCGAAGACCAATCAGCTGCTTCTGAATGGCCGTCGGATGCGGCCAAAGTGGCAAACTGAGCGTCTGAATGTGCCATGCCGCGTCATGTGGACAGAAAATATGAAGGCCGTATCATCTAACAATATGTGTCATCATGACGTCAACCCTCAACAAGAAATGGGTCCTTTAAGAAATCAATTTCCAGGACAATACTGGACAGCACTTGCTCACAGTCATAATTTACTGTTTGTTCAGGTTTACGAAGGCAATCTGATTGAGGATATTTGCCAGATAGAGGCAGGTTTCTAAGATTAAGATAGATTTTCCAGGATGTGTGGAAACCCTGCAGATTCCTATGTGTGGTCTGCACATCTCTGCACTAAATCCACAAACATTTATCAAGCTTTTATATTCTCTTTTTTTTGCAGTTTGTGAACAGGAACAGTCTGAAAACACAACCTTGCCCTCAGTGTGTGTGCGTCACTTGTAAATAAAGGTTTCAGCTTGAAAGCCAGTTCTAGAGAGAATACACCAGCAGGTTTCTCCTTCTCTGCTGTGACCCTGATGGCAGCAGAGCTGAGTTGATGGCTGTGTCCCCCTTCAGCTTTTCTTACAGCACAACAGAGGAGGTCATAGGTCACTGATGATAGAGATGGAAGGGTGCTGCCATTCTACGGCGAGCCCCGAGGGTCGAGTGCAATAGCTGCGACCTCAGAGAGCTGCTCACATGGAGGGTGATGTATACAGGATCGTATAGAGTAAACGCAAGCAACCTACGAGTGACCTTAATTCTTTCAGTCTTGTGTGCTGCTGTTCATTCACTATCTGCTGCGAGTCTCCGGTCGGCTCTAATGAGGGCTTGTTGGTGTGAGGCGGCTTGGCTAACCGCTGATCCAAAGGAGCTGTGCTGTGTAAATGGAGTGGACAAAATATTCTCTTTTATTAAGGTGCTCTAATACTACGGCAGAGTATTAGGGCCATACTAAGAGGAAAAATAAATAAATAAATTTTTGGAAATTACGAGAATAAAGTCGTAATGTTACGAGAATAAAGTCCTCAGGGAGTTATGAAACAGTCTAAATGTAACACTGATGCCTTTATATCAGTGTCTGGGTAGGTAACATATTTTATTATATTCAAAACTGTACAATGAACCAAAACAGTGAACTCAGTAACTGGTACAAGTTTGTGTAAAACCAGTGATTTGGATGAATTCTGAGCAGTATATATAATTCACTGTCTGTATTAGGTATTTTTTTATTATTTCTAACAATCATACAGACTTAATAGGCTTATTTTGTTTGACAAATTCAGTGATTTCTACAGCCAAAAGGACACTTCATCCTTCAGTTTATCACAAACATTCAAGTAAATCTACTTGTACACAATGTGTCAAATCAAATCAACTTCAAATGGATTGAGGTACAATTTAATATGGTTTTATGCTTGCATTGATATGAAGAACTAAGTACATAATAAGAGAGAATATTTAGTTTTGGGGCTTTATGCAATCTTTGCACATATTGTATTGTATGGTATTGTATTTTGTGAAGCACCTTGTAACTCTGGTTTTGAGAGGCGCTATAGAAATTATTATTTATTATTATATTAAAAACATCAGCTTGCAGGAACTGCCGTAGCTGTACAGCCTCACAGAAGTGTGGCTGTAGTCTTGTTTTTCATATAATCAATGAATCGTTTATTCCATAAAATGTCTGAAAATTGTCAAAAAGCCCATTAAAATTCCCCAGAGAACAAAGTGATGTATTCAGATTGCTCTCAAATTGTTCTCAAATGCCTTGTTTTTAAGTCTGAAGTCTGAAGATATTCAGTTTACAACTATAGAAAACCTAAACTTCAGCATTTTTTCAGTGCAGCTGTCAAACGTCAGTAAAGTTTCACCCAGACTGAAATCAGATTTTCTCTACCTCCTAAACTTTTGAACCTCTCGAGATGAATGCTAACAAAAATGTGTCTGATAAACAAACTACTTACTGAGAGTCTGATGTGACTTCTGTTTACACGCACTTGTTTGCTTGTAAGTGGGAGGACTGCACTCGAACAAACTCCCAAACTAAACTAACTGTACAACACAGAAAACAAAGTGTAGGTGTGATTGCACCCTTGGTTTCTTTCCCTTTTCAAAAAAAAAAAAAAAAAAAAAAACCCACAGAGCCAGAAACGATGCTAATTAGCCAGCACAAGCCAGTGCAGCCTGGGCCGGGCTCCCTAGTGATCTGCACACTAATAACCCAGGGAGTGAGCTCGCCGCTGAAAGCCCTGGAGAGGACAGAGGGGCTGCTGACATGTCAACCCTGTTAGAGAGGGCTCGCTGCCCACCGCAGAAGCGACCGGCCAACCAGCTCCCCGTTGGCAGACCGATGAGGACACAAAGAGCAAAGGCTCTGGAGAGAGAGAACGGCATAAATATAGGCTGGAGGCTCCAAACCCAGTAATCAAAACGAGACAGGCTGGGATGAAACGGAGTGAAAATGCACTGAAAATGTAACAGGAAACAGAATGAGCTCTCTCTGCTGAGACAAATGGTTAAGTAAAGAGGGGAAGACGGACAGGAGGGAATCATAGGTTATGGGTTTGGCCAGCGTGTGCCAACCAGAAGTCCAAAATCAAAAGATATTAAATTGAAATAATAGAAAACAGCTTGAAAAATGAAGTAATGTCAGGCTAATCTATATCCAAATGGTCTGTTTACTAATTGATTAATCAATGACTCATCAGCACTATATACAGAGCGCCACTGATGATATTGTGAATTTTCCTTTATTTGTATTCTAACTCTCTGCCGTGACGACGGGATGAATGAACATGGGTGGTACACCTCAGACTGGTTCGTGGTCCTCTGGGCCATCACGTGTTGCCTGTGGACTACGAGCAAAGTGCTCGACGTTACACATACAGCAACCATTTCCCTTTGCTGCAGACGGTTACGCTTTACAGAGACGAAGGAATGAAGGAATTCCAGAGGGACGAAGATGGAAAATCCGCTGACATGAGACCAATTTCCCAGCGTCACTAACCGCATCATCCGAGGCGAAATCAGGAGTGTAGGTCCAGCAGTCACTGGAACACAGGCTGGTCAGAATAAGTCTGCTTCCAGCCTCACAGACTGGTGTCGTTCTTCTCATCTTTCTCTCAGCAAGTAGGCGAATAAGCGCATTTCCCAAAATGTTGAAATATTTTTTAATTGATTGACTGTTTGGTATAAAATTGGAGTTGTTCCGATACCAGTATGGGAAATCCTCCTGATATTGTCTAAAATGTGGGATCAGGTATCGGCGAGTATGCACTAATGCAATACCACGTTATTTATTACGCCCAAAACGGGACCCTGCCAAGTCACGATCTGCCAAACTAGATAATAAAAAAATGTCTATGGCGTTCATCCTCTGTGAATTTGTTCATTTTTCACTTGAATTCAGTTTCAGGAAGTTCAGGAAGTTCAAGGTGCTTCTACCTATAGGTTTGTTTTCTGTCTCTCATTCTTTTCTTTTACTACTGTTAATGCTTTATGCTGTGGATAGAGATTATTGTTTTGTTGTTTGCTTGTTTTGTTTGTATTGGTTTATTTTCCTTGATTAATTATGCAACAACCCAAAAAGAGATTCAGTTTACCACCAAAAAGGAGTAAAGGACCCAGCAAACATATTCTGATTTGTGAAGTTGGAAGCAGTGAATTTCTTCTGAGAAATATGAATAAATGATCAAAATTGTAGATTATTAACTTTCTGTTGAATGACGAAATGATGAATCGACACAAATGGTGCAGCAGAGGCCTGTG